AAAAAAATAACAGTTTAACTCTAGGTTACTTAACTCTGAATTTATAAATTTAACCTTGGATATTCTGCAAGTGGGCCTTAGGAACAAAAGTGTCATAACGGTTTTTAGAGATAATTGCATGATCTACACTTTTGTCTATTTGTATGATAAACCTTACCGTTTATCTGAAAAATGGTGAAAATCAATTTAAGTGACCTTTGACCTTGAATATATTTTTTTTAAAGATCTCGGATCGATGTTCGTAACATTCGTACTAATTTTCGGCTTTATGCGACTTATTGCAACCTTGAAATTCTAACTTGATCGGACTGATTGGAAACAATTTTAAATAGTTTAGTTTAAATAGAGAAGCAATAAAAAAATATTAGTTACACGGGTTATAATGTGCTTCCATTAGGTTTACAAGTGATAAGTTATGGAAAAAATTGTGCTACTATTTTGAAAAACAACATTTTTTTATTGAAAAATCGCCATCTCAAAAGATTTCCCCATATGTATATGTAAATATCTTTGTATACATATGCATGCCGTCGTTTAAAGTACAAAACCGCGTATCGTCATTCTACAAAACCGCGTAACTGTCATTGGCTGCCAAAAATTAGACTTGCTCACACAAGCTCTTGGCTCAATCCTTATCCATTCGTCCTGAAATATACTAGCCAGAAATGCGATTGCTTTGTAAAAAGGAAAACCATTTTGAAATATGACTGTTTTTACTCTCTATAAAATTATTTATGCAACCTCACATACGCGGTTTTGCATTATCTTGATACGCGGTTTTGCATTTTGTTGATACGCGGTTTTGGGAAAACGCAATCACAAATTTTATCAATACATACATTTGATATACAAAAAGATAGATGGAAAGACACATATCTTCGCCATGTTTGGGAAGTTTGTTTATCTGTTAGACTGAACATATTCTCCTTATAAAGCTTATTAATTGCATAATGAAATCTCCAAAAACGTAAATTTTGAGTTACATCTCTATATTATAAAACGTGCGATTTGTATGTACATATGTATATGTGGATGTACATACTTATGAATCTATGTAGATATGTTGGTATCCCTATACATTATCTACATATGTATGCAGAACGGCCACTTGTTAAAGTTTCCACACAGTTCGTCGCGCTGTAAAGTTCCACTTTGCGTTTGGTGAGAATATTTTACAATCTTAACAACTGCCCACACACATAAAATCACGAACCACTCTCGACGACATAACTTTACTAAAACCGATTTTATTATTTTATAAGTACATATGCATAACACCTACATATACATACATACCTAATAGGTAAGTAAGTATATTGAATTGGAAACTTGTTATTTTTATATTCTCTTTTGTTTTTATCGAAAGCTATCGCACATGCACGAGAATTTTAATAAAAAAAAAAAAACATTTTTTAATCACCCAAGTGCGTACCTAAGTTAGTACGAGTAAACTGTACTAAGATTCGTGTGGACTATAACACATGTCCTTAATTTAAATCGATTTGTAAGATACACATAAGTTATATTTAATGTCACAGTTTTTAGTGAAATCATGTTTTTTTTCACAATTTAGTATACCACTTATATCTATTCAACAACTGATCGAGTCTTTTGTTGCCGTGCAGAAGAAAAAAACATAGAAACATTTTTGCATCATTCGCTTTAGAGAAAAACGTTTGAAGTTATTACACTAACTGTTAGAAGCAGTTATAGTTGTATAGGCCATTAGTTCTAATATCCCGCAATTTTTTTATGCAATTTTTCTTTTAAAAATCGTAACGTGTCCTCTTGAAAACTGTGTCCTTAACGTGGCGTATACGTAACATTATTAGCGGGGGGTACAAATGTATGAGTGTGCCCACTTACACATAAATATGTACATATGCACATATACGTGTGCAAATTTTGTATTATATTTTGATTAAAAAATGTGTACTTTTTTTCATTTTCAAAATATTCACTATTACGTAGCTTATTTTAAAAAATGTATAACTTTGCTATTTTTTAGCTGCTTGTGTGGATGGGATATTTTAATAGATATAAATTATATATATTTTTATGGCACATTTGTATATATACTTATTTACTAATATATACATTTGTACACGTATGTATTACAGCTTTATATACATATATAAATCACGTCTACCGACCCAATATACAATTCCGGTTCACTTCAGTTAGCCACAACCGTTGCGATTGACAACGCGCCGAAGAATGACAGGATTCCGAATGGTCAATACGCATTATTGCATTTCCTGTCTAACAAAATACTTATTTTATCTGTCTAAGTGTTGTTGGAATTTTCCAATGTACCCCTATAAACGTGTCATTACTAGCCTTTAGCCATCAAGTAAAAACATATTCATATGTACATACATACATATATTTAAGTATGAATGTTTGTACTTGTACATGCACTACACATTATCTGAGCAGTGGAACCATTTTATTTATAATAAATGGTTAACGAAATATACTTGAATATTATGGTGATTTCGTTTCTTCCAAAAAATATTGCCCTTTTCCGTTGCAAAATGTGTTTCAGGTTACACTCAACACTGTAAAAGGGCATGTTTTTGCCTTCTTGTCCTTGTCTACCTCACGCATTTCATAATATTGTCGTCTGATTTTCAGGGCAACCATCTTCCCTGTCAAAGCTTCGAAGGGCAAAGAATGTGCCTTTTTTGCCTTAAAAGAGTGCGATATTTTAAGAAACGAACACAAAAAGAGAAAGAGGCAATCGAAAGGCGACATTTTTTATTAGAAACGAAATCATCATTAAACACACATAATATGTACATACATACATACATATGTATGGGCAAATCTCCGGAACCGTGTGCTTTTGTGTTACTTACCTTTAAATTAATTTTTAACAGACTTCACAAAAAGAAGGAAGGTTATCAATTCGTCGGAATATATATATATATATACGTATGTTACGGCATAACTTTGAACGTTAACCGATTTCTATAATTCCTTTTTTAAATGAAAGGTGTTACCTCACAGGTCCCATTCTAATTTGTTTTAAATCCGATTATTATTAATTAACTATAATCTTAAATTTTTATATGAGAATTGAAGTCGGTTTTGTTTTTTGCTTAAAAGTTACTTGTATTACTTATTATTACTTTTTATAAAAAACTTGGACCGCACATTTAGGGTATTCACACCGGTGTCGTAAGTGTCGTATTATTGTATCTCGTAAACTTTAAACGGCTAAAAATATCAGGGTTTGGGACCCGCCACGTA